CGAAAATATCAAAAAATGAATTTAAAAATTGATTTGTTTTTATAAAAATGTATCTTATTATAACATAAATATTTGAAACTAAATAAAAACAAATTATTTTCAAAATATGATTTTGAAAATTAGTATTTTATATATTTTATAATATTAGGCATATGTACCTATATTCTATTTTTTCAATTTATATGCAAATATTAAGTATTTTAGTAATGCGTATTTCAAAGTAGATTCATTGCATATATATATACATATATATATATAATAATTTCGGCACAGATAATCTGTTATTAGTTACATGTAGCACGTATCGTTTTGTCCTAGTCTGTAAATCTATATATGAATCTTTACCACTCTTTAGTCGTTTTACGCACGTTTGCGATTCCGAAAAAAATCCTTGGAATTAAGATGACAGCAATATTTATACCTCTTATGGAAACGAAAAACATCGACATTCTCCATTATCGGTCATCGGTATCTGACCGGACTGTGACCACAGAATAGTTTCACCTATTCTGTGCTATGACCGTCAATAACGTTATGCGATGATTTATATTAGTTATTATTAAACTACCTGTGCGCGTACACTCGTTCTATGTTGAATTAATAAAAGCGGTTAACTATTTCTAAATAGGTATAATTAATTTACCTTATTTTTAACTGCAGTCAATTCTGTATATAGAACGATCCAAGTATACAATACCTAACATAATAAGCACAATTATAGGGGTGGTTGTGTGCTTACTAAGAGACAACGCATTACTCGAATTCATCCTAACCCCACCACCAACAAAAATCAAGCAAACACTAAAATGTAGTACATTATATAGGTAAATAAATAATAATTAAAAATGTATAATATGATAGTTGCTGTTGCACCCACATGTATAAACAATATTGAAAAAATCATGTAATCGAATTTCTTGAGAGAAGAATGTGTAAATTATATAAATATGTATAATAATTATTATTTTATCATATAATATACGATCAGCGTCCGCATAATATAGTCGGCAAGCGAGTCCCGCTGTGAATAAATAACTAAAATTATGCGTCCATCATCTATGTCTTATAAAATGTAACAAAATAACATGATATTGTCGCGTGTCGGGAGAGTTTTAACTATATTTTTCGGACGATTTGCCGTTCCGGATATACGAAAACAGCACGATGACGGACGGCAGCTGTAACGTAGCTAGGTAATAGTCGACTATACCATACTAGCTACTCGCGTTTTCTTTGGACAAAATTTTGTTTTTTTATTATGCATCATAATATATAATAATGTAACGATCGTTATTATTTTATCACTATAGTTATTATTTAACTACCGTTATAGGCGGGTTTTCAATTCCACGACGACGTATATGCAGTGCATATTATACACGCGTAGCCATTATACATGTCGCCACGCATTGTTCAATCCACGAACAGCTCGTTGCCGAAGCAGTTGGGTCACGGTAAAATTTCAGAAAAGAAACACTATATTCATCGCGCATATACGGTTATGACACCGCCTGTGATGATATAGGTATACAGGACATTTTTTAAACAATTTTTTTTTACGTAACCGACTGACCGACGCTTGTTTCTCGCCGTCAGTGATATACAGCATGTGTCATGTTCGTCTATATTAGTAGTTCAGTAGTTCATATTATAATCGATATAATATAGTTTCGTGTCCAAAACATATTATATGTATCTCTAGTCAACCTAGGGGTAGGTTAGGTTAGGTTAGGTTAGGCGTTTAAGTCATTTGGGCTCAAAATGATAAAAGATCTTCCGTTGCGGCCTGCACTGTAACATGCAGGTTACCGTCGTCGACTAATTTCTTAATATTTTTACCGTAACGCGTCATCTTTATTTTTTTTAAGTGTATTGTGCAAGCAAAACCTCTCTATTTGTTCACATAAAATCGTTTTTTCTTCCGGCAAAAACCTCACAAGTGTTTACACTACAAATGTTTATTTTATAAATTGTTTTGCCCCCACTTTATAATTTTATTGATAATATAGTATGATTTATCTGAACGATTTTACTGAAATAACATTTAAACATATAATATAATATACCAGATACACCCGCTGTATATGCACAGGGAAAAATAGTCGAGAAAAAAACGGCAGTCACACAAACTGCAGAGAACATAATGTTGTTATTATTATTAGCCGATGGTAATATATAATGTGAAAGTAACTTGCACTGTGCGTTTCCCAATCAGAAAGCATAACATCGGCCTTACACATATAGGTAGTATCTAGATATTGTGTGTGTGCTTATGCTAGGCAGTGTGATGTGTTCGTGAATGTGTTCACTAATTAAGTATTATAAGTGTATGCATTTACCGTTCTATACACTTTTATGCTAATTGCTACCATACCATTCAAATGTGGCCATTATCATTATAATTATAAATTATAACTAAAAAAAAAAATCGAATAATAATTCGTTCGGGAGATTTTTTTTATTCGGTCCCAGGTTGTTATGAAAACCAACTACGCCACGTTACCTGCAGCTCTTTAAACTTGGAAATAACACACATGAGTACATGACATTATTAATATTAATGCGATTCTATAATATAATAAAATCTGAAAATCTATAACGACGAACATTGATGTATCACCTCTGTCGCGACACGCTGACAATAATAATTTATACCATTATCGCACATATACAAAAATGTCAATTATTTTTACCATTATTCGATTGAAAAGGTGCATTTTGCCCTGCGCGATTACATGAAAATCCTTCGTTGTACGTCGTCCACGGCTTATAGCTGGAAGACAGTTGGAAAGGTAAATAATTCTGTTCCTATAGGAATTTCTACAGTGACTCATATATGACATAACACACACACACACGTCTTAACTCATGTATATTTATATAACTTAATGTTTACCTAGAACAATAACGGGACAGCTTTGATGACAACGGCATACATTTGACTGATTTATACAGATCTAAAAAAATTATATTCATATTTTTTATTAGTATTTTATCGGTTGTCCGTCTGATGTGAAAAAAAAATGTATAGGTTTTTACTCTTCGTTTGGGTTTGGACTATCGATGAGAAAGCTACGTATATAAGCGGGTTGCTTGGTATCTATGTATTAAAATTGAAATTCTACGTCGTGACATGACTGCACGAGTTTTAAAAGTGATACGTGAACGTGTGATAATATATAGGTATAGTATGTATAGGTAGAAACAATAATATAGCAACGAAGAACGACGAAATCCGCAATAAACGAATTGACTCGCGCGAAAAATACGATAGCCCCCGACAACAATGTAATATCAATCATCATAATATACATATATATATATACCTTGCCGACCACCGCATACAATATATTATTGTGTATGGATATTGAAAATCGATTTCCGTCGACGCCGCCGGCCGTCTATTATTCGATTTCGATGCAGTTGTCGTGTCTCATCATCACAGACGAGTAGAGGAAAAGAAAAAAACGTTATATACACCGCATCCCTCTCCGAGCTACACGTTCACAGTACCTACATTATATTATTATGTATTAAAGTCTCCGACAATACCGTTTTTTTTTTCTAAGTAAAATTACACCGTGATTGCGCCACACTGCCATTAGCTGTACCTACGTAAAATATATTATGGGTAAATTGTAGATGAGCGGAGTGCTCGGCGTCACACAAACTGCCCATATACCGTTTTTTACGTACATTTTTTTACGTTTTATTTTCCACCGATCACTATTATTATTCTGTCGTTTTGTCGTCGCGTTTTCGCCCGACAGCTCCGTCTTCGTGCGGCCACAATGAAAGCGTACATAATCTGCGCTTGACTTCATCGTGTCTGCTACGACACCATTACCGGGCGAGTAAATACCGCAGCCGAGTAGCAGAGGTACGTCGTTTTTTCCGCGAAGCGAAATTGTAGATGGGAAAACGCCAGGTGACCCGTCGCCAGCGAAACGTCGTTTGTTCGAAAATTAAGTGAAGTTCCAATCAATATTATCTATATATTATGTGCGAATGAAAATTGTTCGAACATTTTCATTTTTGTTATTTATTGGTTATTAATTATTTAAGAGAGCTATAAAAAACAAATTGTCAGTTAATTCTGACCGTAAACAATATTACTCTTATAAGATATCTATGCTATACTAAATTCTGAATAACCTATTTTTTTAAGTTTGAAATGAGATTGATTTTTAAGTCGTCCTTCGCATTGTTTTTTTAACTTCATGTGGATTGTCTTTGTACGAAAACGCACTTACTCGATTATATGAATGTAAAAAAAACTATTTCATGGACGGTTGAAATATTTACTCGACGCTAATAGAGCACATGGACACCGCTCAAACAAATTCCAAATCTATGTTGGTGACCTTTTTTCACTAGAATTGCCTCTAGGTGTTTTTGGAGTATACGAGTATACTCAAATAGTGTACTTACACGAATTTCCGCCCAAAGCATACCTAGATTGTAAGTTAATATGTCGATAGTTCGTGGAGTATTAGGTACCTGTATCGATTATTATATCGATGATCGTTATGTTCAAAAATATTTTATTTTATTGTGTTTAAGTATTTTATTGTACTATTAGTCCACATAGGCATAAGTGCTTATTACTATATTCAGTTGTATTACTGTGTTAACGTATTTTTATTTAAACAATTATTATTTTTTTTATAACTTATTATTAACCGTGGTATTGATTATTTACTGCAGCTTCAATATGATTATTGAGACATTTTAATAGAATGATATTTTTAAAAGCAGGAGCCAATTCGAGGGTTAAATTGTAGTCAATTTGAGTTTCCCTGTATGTATATATACACGTAGTCTATAAGTTGATCAAGATACATATTTAAATAATTAAACGTCAGTGATAGCAATAATAACAAAAATATGTAGTCATAATATATTGTGAGCTCGAGACACAAGTTTTCGAAAAATATATTTTCTTCCGACACTATAATTTATCTGTGAGTTTTTTTTTCATACTGTTTATTTTGTTACAGGACTCTGTGATCTGACTGGAAGTCCTCCGACCATATGGGTGGATCGGAATTGGGTGGTCGACTCCACGGCACCCGTCGGCACGGTGGTGGCCCGGGTTCGCGTGTCCGACGTCGGCCACGAGACGGTCTTGGTGTACGGGTTGGAACACTCGACGGGCTTCAACATCGTCCAAGAGAACGAGGACCCTTTGCCGTTCACCATCGACGAGAACGGAAGAGTCACCACAAACACGTCCCTGACGAACAAGGTATAATCATATACTATTATCGTCATTAAAAATAAAATCATCATTCATATAGTGCATATACCATAATAGTATTATGCGTCTGAGTCGATTATCATTACCTCCAATCGCGGTGTTGTACTTACATGTATACGTGTTTAGTGATGTCGATCCGAAATCTTTGAAGAACAATTTTGTTCTTACATTAGCGCAATAACCCGCAGTGAACTCACCTGTAGGACGGTGTCTCGTACTAACGTCAAAATAAACTTATCGTACCTATCTAACATTACGTGTACCCATATGAGTATATGACATATTATTGCATATAATATCCGGTATCACATATGCGTGTATAGTGTATACTGTATACACTCTACACATATAGGAATTATTATAATAACGGCAAATTTATACATAATATACCTATAACTACCTGCGTTATATTATACTGCGCGTATCGAGATTCGCGACTATTATTATTTACGATCCGACACGTCTAATCACGGCTAGACAATTATTTTATAGACGTGTACCATAATATCATGTAGATAATAACACTATTACTCACTTTTCGTAAGCTTATTGTGTACCGACAAAGTACGTACTACGTACCTTTTTTATTGGGAAGAAAGGGTATATCAATTTCGGATACGTAAAAATAAAAATATTTATAATCATATGGCCGGAACACGACGTAATAATGGAAACACAACTGCAGCAACATAATAATAATAATAATATCGTACGACGATAACAGCATATATGTTATAGTTAAGTATATAAGTATATACAAAGATTGAAACATCAAGAAAATGTATAAATTATACATTTATTAATCATATTAGAATAAGAATACATAAAACAGATTTTTTCATTAACGTAGTTATTTAAAATCTGATTTTTGAAATTTTTAAACATACTTATAGAATATATTTTCAAATTCTCGAGATTCATTGTACAACTTGAGGATTGTCTTGTGGCGATACAAACTTCAGTTTTTCAAATTAGAACCCATCCCTTTCTTCTGCAAATTATCTAGTGAATAATAATTTTTCTAAACATTTCGACGTGTCAGAATCGAAATCCGAACGAAAAGTTTTTAAGTTGATTAATTTTGTATATTAGGGAAGTATTTCCACGATAATGAGTTTTGAAGATATGGAAGTTTTCAATTGAATATATTAGTGATTAATATCAATGTGTCAACATTAATAATTTGTAAAATTATCCAATACTATAATAAGTAATAGACTCAATATTATACTTATTTTATATGCTTATAAAAATATTTTTAAAAACTTTTATCCTTAATATAAACGCTTTAATAACTAAGAAACTACTCGTTTGAATTTTGAATTAGGTACCTACATCGAAATTTTCACAAATAATTTACAGTAAACAATGGAGGCTTTTATTTTAAAAATAGAAGTTTGTTTCACCACAGCAGGACACTCATTTAGTAGTAAGAAAATTCAAGGAAATAACCTTGAAAATAGAGAGTATGTCGGGAGCATCCAGAGAGCCAATAAGAACACATAATGATGTGATAAAAGAGGTGCTTTCCTCAATGATTCGGAGGGAAACTATGCCGTTAGGTTAAAGTTAGAGTAGGATGGATTGTAATGAGAGCATTTGATTTTGAGTAAGAATAAGGCAGCAAAGAACAAAAATCAATTCTGCACTTTCTCCATACGACCGCACATGAATGATAAACTAAGTTGGATCTATATCGATTGTAAAAATATATTTACTCGTACACAGTTATTACTAAAAATATATCATACTTCCTTATAATATATAATTAGATACCAACCTATATTATTACTTCATAAATGACTTCGAATTTTCTTATCTCTGTGTAGGTATTGTTTCATTTAACCAATTTTCGAAATCATATTTTTGTGTTACGCCTACCTAGTTAATAATTTGAGAGCAATCGTTACATAATAACTTGTAACGCGCGTAACATACATCAAAACTTGTTCATCGGTAGTATTTCAGTTTTGCTTCGATATCTTCATCAAAGTCACGACTAGAATAATAACGCCACCTACAAAACTAATTCTTAATAGTTAATTTGGTTAATTTGCCATATTTATGTCTAAATTAATCAAAAAGGTTTGTAATCGAATTCTCAACTATTATTTAGACACGTCTTGTGTTAAACGTAAGCATAATAATGGTACCGGGTCTAACATGTTATCATGATAGGTACCTGCCTACACATTCTTGGTTGTATTACGTGGATTATAGACTACCTATTGATAAAACACAATGAACTGTCTTTTCGCCCGTCCCGTTTCAACATGATCTCGAGACCGAAAACCGTGCAATATAAGAGCTTGTGATATAATGCAATATTTTACGGTATGGGCGATGTATGCATAATAGATTGTAATAACAATACATCTGTTTTCCTGAGTAAGAAACTAGGTATATCGGTCTATAACAGTGAATATATTGATAAGAGTAACATATAATATAGCCATATAAGGTGATCATTTTTACTCGTCTTACCAATCCTTTAACTAAGCTCTATTTTATATGAAATAATAAATATTATTCAATTTTTTTCAGTTTGTGTAAGTATAGTGTTCTATAATTATCCAGTAAACTTATTTTGGTTTTTATTAACTAAAAAAAATTACCAAATTTTAATTTCTATTCTGTTGTTTATCCATTCTCAATCCATAAATAAGTCATGCGTAACGCTGTAATAACTAATAAATAATAGGTATGTTCTAAAAAGTGAGGATTTTACTTAGAAAAATGAAATGAATTAAATTTTTTCCTTTCACTAAATAAAAAATTATATTTGAGATTTACATGTTAATACTTAACTTAACCAAATTTTTTTTGGAAAAAACATATTTTTTAAATACACTTGACAATAGTTTTCTTGAACTGAAACAACTTATTTTAGCTCACTTTCTTGCTTTTGATTACTTAAATCTTGTTTATCGTCATTTTTAGAAAACTACCATAGTTAAAAAATAATAATTTATCTAATAGTTATTTGCCATGTTGATATTATGTCAAATATTATACAATACCTTTGAAAACTACATAAATACTAACATAAATGACTACCTAACAAAAAATTGAAAGTAATTTGTCAATAATAAAATTATAAAAATAATCTCTTAGCTGCCAAAAATAATACATTTTAACTTTACTAATAAATAATAATCTATAATTTCTTACACTTGACTCGCCAATGTCAATTATTCTATTAAATAATATGTGCACTTTTAATTTATTTTACTCATTATTACAGTTCTTGGTGTATGTAATGGTATTTGGTAACTTTGTACTTAAATTACTTATATTGTGTTCTGATTTTACTCGTAATTAAATAGCTATATAATAATAAATATATTTCTCTCAGGGCATAAATTAAATAAACTAATAAATAATTATAATTATAAATGTTAAATATTGGTGAGTTGAATTGACATAGTCGAATTAACCCGCCAGTTCTTTTAAAAAAGGGTAATTTTAGGATCCCAACTTTTAATTCTCGCAGTGTCTACCCTTCCCATATTCCTTTTAGTTCTGTGAATTATTTGCGAAACAGTCCTATACTACGCATGATGAGATTAGCGAACGAGAATCCATCGTTTCTATTGGGGGACTAAACCAGTATTATATGTTATGTTCACCATGTCTTATATTTTAATTTGTATTTTATACTGTTACGTTTTAAGATTAATATTTAATATCAATATTTGTATTGGGCTTATGCCGTTTCATATAAATAAATAAATAATTAGACCGTTATTTACCTATTCAATATATTAGTTATACATACGTAATAAAACTAAATCGCCTAATCGTTTCCCGTGTCGAATCAAATAACTGCCATCGTATGTTTTCTTTCCTATTAAGGACTAATTATTTTTAAAAAAAAAACAATCGTTTCGTTTGTTTTTCATTACACCTTGTTCCGTTAGTAAAATGCCGAATTTATTTGGTATAAAACGAAGTTTTGAAGTAAACTAGAGTACGTCCTAATTAGCATCCGTAATTATTAACTAGGTTATTAACGCGTAAGACGTAAATAATTTATTACGAATTAACGTAGCCCCAAAATAACTTTGTATGTGTACATTTTAATATAATGATAGCATAATATAATATATTATAACCTACACGTACACGAAAGCCAAAAGTAGAACACGGTGTTTCTCTGCGGCGTGTATAATGGGTGTACTATATATGTATAACTACACATTATTGTTACACCAAGTGTGCCTGTTATTGACATTATTGTATTAACGTATAAATTAGTGTTTTACTGCAACCACGGTCTTCTACTACGTGTTTTGTTTCTGTGATAGCGAAGTTAAAAAACGATTTCATTACTATTGTGTTTGGACCTTAGTGATTTCTCAGAGCTTACTTTGGAAAAACCATAGTTATGATTGCGTAATAATATCATAATAATAATAATAAAAATAATAATTGTTTATTCAAAACGAGTGTCGAAGAAAAAATAATTAAAACATATGAAAAGATTCTTCACAAAATGGTTACGTATGTACTGAAATGTACGATTTATTGATCAGGATTTAGACTTCCCTATTACGAACGCGTTTTTTAGGAGAACGACTGCATAAAATTAACTAAAAGATGAATAAATGGTGAATTTTAAATAACATACACTACAGAAAAGCAGTTTATTAAATACAAATAAAAATTATCACTTGTATGAAAACATTTACTTATATACACTACCTAGTTCTAACTATTATGAATTGACGTTAAGTTTTTACTTTGTACATTTTAAATTTTACTGTAACCTGTAGGTACTAACGTATAGTTCCAAATATTAATACATTTCTCCCTATCAACCAACGTTCATCCTTATTTTATAATAATTGTATTCATTTCACAGGAGGGAAAAAACATTTACCTGTATGTAACGATCAATGACGGACACCTGACGTCCAAAACTCAGGTATGGGCGAAAGTGGAAGGACCCGGCGGCGGTGGCAGGAATAAGCCGGGGAGCGGAGGACTTCCGACCAACTTCTTGTCTGGACAATTCCGACCACCACCCCCGCCGTCAATACCGATCAACGGAGCTGGAGGAAGTTTTCCGGGCGTTGTTTTCACGCCCCCTAACAAACTTCTACCCTCCGGACCGGCCAGGACGACGCCGCCCAGGCCAACGAACAAAGTTCCTACAGTGAAGCCGACGACGCCCACAGTCGTTGCCACGAAAAAGACAGTCGCCGCTGACATACCCGTCGCCGAGGCCTCCACATCACCGACCGCGGTTGCTAGCACAGTCACCTCAACCGTGGTAACCGATGCAGCTGTCAATGTGGTTAACGGCTCAACCACCACTGAGTCGGCGTTCAGCAACGTCACCACCTCATAGTCGGCGTTCAGCGACGTCACCACCTCGGCCGCTTCCACAGCCCGGCCCGAAGAGACAAGAAACGTAACAGAACCAGCGCTCACCCCTCCTACAGTGACCACCCAGCAACCAGTTCAGAATAACCTGGTCTTGGCTCTGGTCCCCATAGTGATTGCTACCGTATTCTTAACCACGGCTGGCGTGCTTGCCTGTTTGTTCCGAAAAAGACTGTTTTCCTCCAAAGTCAAGTCTAAAAAAGTCAATTCAATTGTGAGTATAATAATATATACCTTTATTATAAGATATAATATATAACCATGGTATTTGTTCAATACGATACTGGGCACCTAGTCATAAGTAATTAAAATACTAAATCAAATTCTAAGTTCACAATATACGACTTAACCGAATTTAAATTTAATTGTTGGTTTAGTAATACGTTATTATATTGGTTATAGTATATCATACATAATAGAATTGACAACTACAACAATATTTACGAGTAGACACAAAAGTACAAATATTGAAACATACTGATGTTTTCATGCAGCAAAAAAATACGCCATTTGTCGAATTTTAAAACCTTATCGTGCTTATACTGCTGCTGTTGCAAGTCATCGCCCTTTTCTCATCTATGGACATTCTCTCTAGAAAACTTTTGGAAATTTTCGTCTTATCAATAAAATATTTGGATAGAACCTGTTTGATCTAACCTATCCGGCTATTATTATAAGACTAGTGTCAAATGTCAATCACATTGTATTAGAACTATTTATATATACCGAGTATAATATAAAGTTTGTGGCCAACGGTCGCACATAGGTAACTGTGTCGAAGTATGTACATTAAAATTATTATGCTTATGCTCTTATACTTTTTATTGTAGGGAAAAAAGAAGAGCTCTAGATCGGACGACCCGATGGTCATGCACCACTGGAGCGGACCACGGGCTTTCACCAGGTATGAGAGCTGGGGCTCGGATCCGTCGACCAATGGGCAGTACATCGGTGGCAAGGAATCGGTGATCAAAGAAAGCGACCCATGGGAGATACCCAGGCACCACGTAAGGGTGTGCTCAATACTAGGAGAGGGTAGTTTTGGGCAAGTCTGGAAGTGCGAGGCGTACAACATCATGGGTAAGAGACGCTCATTCTGCCGCGACTATGTATTACCCGTTGAATGACAACAACCATAACAATAACAATTATTGTTATTATAAACACTGTTATCTGCTACAGCGATCGTGATGATATCACCTCGACCGTGGTAAAATGTTGAACACGATTAATATATATTTGCATATATTTGTTTAGGGTTCAAGGGCAACATGGTGGTCGCGGTAAAGACGCTCAAGGACAACGCGGGCGAACGCGAACGACTCGACCTGATACAGGAACTGCAGGTGATGAAATCGCTGGAGCCACATCCGCACGTTGTAAAACTCTTGGGATGTTGTTCGGAGAGAGGTATATTTATTACAGTTAAACAAGTTTTAGTGACAAAAAGCTAACAAATAAAAAGCAAAATATCATAATTGTACATAATATATCAAATAATCATCTTATTTTCGCTTTAATATAAGAAATAGTCTCATATATTATAATAAAACTGATTTTATTTTTACCTAATTTGATAACAATGTCCATGGCAGTTAGAAAATTCTCAGTACTATATTTATTTTGTACACATATAATACATGCATACTCTAACGGCCTAACAGATTATATAAATAACATAAGACGCAGACAAGTATAATGCTATATGGGTATAGTTCTTACATCTACAATAAAATAACCTTTGGTTAGTGGTTACATAATATGGTTTAAATAAGAAGAGGGCCGATACATAAGACTATATTATGTTCAATGTCGTAAAAACAAAAATCCCCAATCACATATTACACAAACGAATTAATTATTGCAACGATTTCGCGATAATATTATCGGATTTTCTTTTTATAGTTATTTCCAAAAACGTTAGGTATTTTAATTTATATTTGATATCGTTTTTATAAAACGATAAATATTATTATATTATATCGTTGTATCGGATATCGGTAAAAATAATTAGTACCTACAGCCCATTCCTTTTAGTAATAAAATCTCTAAAATATTGATTTGGACGTACTCTCACAAACAATATAATATGATTATTTGATACATTTCGTCGGTCCCGGTTTCTTGTAAGCTTTTTTCGCTTACACTTATAATGCGATTATACCTATACTCTGATATGTAATGTTGATTAGCATTAATAATAATATATTATGAGTATGGTTCAACGATGATGATTTATAACGTGTCTAAATTTTTTTTTTTCGTTTCGTTTCCGCTGCAGATCCCTTGTTCGTCATAATGGAGTACGCGAAATTGGGCAAACTCCAGAGCGTGTTGCGGAACTCTCGTGGCGTAAACTACTACACGAATACGCACGGGCCGAGTTCGTTGACGTCGCACGAACTCATTATGTTCTGCTATCAGATCGCCAAAGGAATGGACTTCTTGTCGTCGAAAGGGGTACGTTGAACTTACTGCCTACATACCTACAATATTAGATGTATTACATTGTATATACAGTGCACAGACGACTGCACGCTGCAATGTTAACGATTGCGTTTCGCGCTTCGTAAATTGTTATAATATATTATTATTATGATGCTATTGTAATTGGTGCACGTAGCGTTCAGTTCGTAAGCGCGTAGGAAGTCCAAAGACGATATAATTATAGTGTACCAGCAGGAAATTGAAATTCCTTCAAAAGTCACAAATCTGAAAAATAAATGTTACATATATTTGTTATTGTTTTGAAATATTATGGGTTCGGCTCTAAACGCTCCAATATTAATTTGACTTTGGTTTCGAAAGGCAAATGTCATTATTTTAAAATTATTATTATTCACGAGCGTTCGTCGAAGAATACAGCTTCCGATAAAAAGTATTACATAATACGTATACAATAATTCAATAAATAGTTCATTATAGATATTTAAAAAGAATGACAAACGTAATATAGTCGAACAATTGATTAAAATATTGATTTTAGTATGTTAATATATTTTAATTTTACCAAAAAATAATAACTCAGCATTCATAATTTTAAAATGCAAATGTTTATATTTTCACTCATTTTTAATGCACAATTGATTGAACACATACCTATATTCTGAGCCTAAGCGCATTAAATTAGCATCCCTGATTATTACTTATTAGTGTCATAGTTTATACGTGATCAATGGTGTCTGTGTACGAGTACCCATATTCTAACTTATTAAGACTAATAAGTAATAACTAACGTAATTTATTGTAGTTCAATTATTATCATGGTGCAATATAAATAAGTGTGAATGGTAACTCAAGAGACGAAAAACTATTGCGCACAACTTTAGAATGCTCAAAACGTATTTTTCATCTAATCTTGCGGCAATCTTACAATACCTTAATACCATATATTTCACACCAATATATGTAGCTGATCCCGTGCACATCTCTGTCCGCTAAAATTCCAATTCTGTATGAGACTCGCTTGTGATAATGAGAGCAGACCTGCGGTGGATTCCGGACCCTGCTTGATGCGTCCTCTTTGTATAAATAATAAGTTTTATTTTGATTTTGATTGCGGACACTCTGATGAGAGGCTATAAGTGCAACTGAGCCACCTTGGTAGGCAATGTGCAAAAACTTAGTTTGATACGTCATGTCTATTGCTTATACCTGATCTGCCCGATTAACCACTGGCAACCAATAGACAAAACAAAAATACCAATTTCTACTAAAAATATTTATATTTCTCCTATAACCAATAACAACCATTTATAAGCAAAAATTTCCTTCGTAAATCTCAAAAGGTTAAGAAAAAAAATTGGAGGTGATAGTAGGAGGGTAAAAAATACTTTACGGCATATTCTCATGCCTACCAAATATACAAAAAAAATTCATTAAAATCGATGGAGCCATTTTGGAGGAGTGCGACCACAAATACTGCGACACGAGATTTTTATATATTAAATCATATCATACAAAATACATTAATTACTTTTCAAGTGTATTATTGTCGAGGACGTAACATTTACCATAATAACATTCTTGAGTTCGTAATAACAAAATAAGTACTTATGCGTATCAACAATGCGACGGAACAGAACAAAAATTACCAAAATACATTAATTAATTGGAATTAACTTTTCAAAAACAAATATTGCAGAAAAAAAAGACCAACTGATGAATTTTATATTTATTATATTTTCGAGGTATACAGCTCCACCCATAGACAATTTATAATTATTAATATCTAGTAACATATTATAGTCGATTAGTTATCCAATCGGTTTCCCTAATTCTCCATTGACGCGAATAATAATTTATACATTGAAACGAGTTCTCTGATTTTTAATATATCACTCGAAAGAATACCGTATGACTTAAAATAATACACGCGTTGAACAACAATTTCACATTCCAGAAAATTACGTTTGGATTTACATCAGCAATATAATACTAATATGTTCCCATGAACCGTGAGATACATTATTTGGTAGTTATTTTGAATAAAAACTCAATATTAGAATGAAATAAACCTGTGACCTTGAATGCATGTGTGTAATTACAAACATGTATTATGTATTTACGGTTTGCTTGGTCTATACGAGTAACGAATAAAATAGGTACCTAATGTTATTAAAGTGGCTCTCGACTCTATAATTATAATCACTTTAAGTATTTATACGATAGTCGATGATGAATAGAATTCTGAAAACAATTTTAAAATTATTCGCCGAAAATACAATTAAGTATTAGACAATAATGGAAACCTTTAATGTTGTTCACAACTGATATTGCACCTATTCAATTTTAGATTGAAGACGATATTTTTTCTATTCGCATCTTTACTCACATTTGGTTAAGTAATCATTTACAGAAAATAGAAAAACAGGATTCCAAAGTAAAAATGTCGTATATACATACGCTGACAGTAAAAGAAATAATGAATTTGGGAAAAACGTCAAATTTATTATGTACCAACTATTACAGTTAAGCGGTACCTAGGTACATTTTAACCACAATAATAATTATTGTTCGTGTATTCGGACTTATATATACATCTATATAATGTAGAGTAGGTGGCAGTCATCAGTACAATACTGCTGAGGTGCGGAATGTCGTTCATTGACCGTCGCGTATTATTATTATTATATTTGTGGTTTCGATTCAGATACCGAAATGTTTCTGAAAAACACGCCCGCGATTGTGCAGTTTCGTTTTAGTGCGAAATCATTCGGGGGCACACGAGGGCAATAGCCGGTAAATTCGAACCGCGCGCGGTGACGCGACTAATAACATTAAAATTCATTAAGGCGGATTCCCACTCGGCGGAACTCCAAAACACATCGAGCACAACAGATTGTGCAATTAATAAAAACCTCGTCCCTACCCAAAATCCATGCGATAAGTGTACCTACGACTCGATGATGATTGACAATAAAGCCGATAAACCGAACGGGACGTTTTTCCGGACAGATGATGACTGAGTTTACTGCAACGGTACAGCAGTCCTAGGCCCCACTCTGACCAAAACAACGCACTAATAACGACAAATTATTAAAAACACATTCATATACATGGTGTAACGGGAAGGCCCGACAAATTATATAACTTTTGTTCTGATATCAATATTATGTTTACAGTTTTTTTATACTTTATTTATTGACTTGAGCTACACGTATAAAGAAGTATAATAAAATATTTTTTATTTTTAATTCTGAAAATAAAAAAATTATAATCTGGTTGAATTTTTTTTTTTGAAAAATTCAAAATAGCCAATTTTTGAATCTGGATTTTAAAAAACTTTGATTGTAAAACATTTATTTAAGTCAAGTGGTTTATTTTTTGTGGTAACTTAAATGTCAAACATTTTTTTATATATATATAGATTTTAACAAGTATCTAATTAAAAATTCTCATAGAATAATAACTTTATAATTAATGAGTTTAAAATATTTTCTACGAATGAATCAAATTAATAACTTAACAACAATTTTGATATTTAAAAAATAAAAATAAAATAAGCTAGTTACCTATACCATTTAAATTAATGTTTTTACAGTCAAAAGTTTTCTAAAATCCAGATTTACAAATTGGCTAATTTTGATTTTTCAAAACAATTTAAATCACGATTTCAAATTTTCACTTACAGTATTAAAAAAATAAAATATGTTATATTATACTTATAGGCTGTAGCAAAAGAGTCAATAAATTATCAACATAAAATTAAATAATAAAAAATATTGATTAAAACAAAAACGTATTTCATTTATCAGGTCTGTGAAACACTTTTGTGTTTTGTCACGACGGGTCTCCCAAGTACATTTTTTAACATACGAATCGAATATTAACCGACTGCCTCGATCAAAGGAGCCATATCACGTGCTATCGTGAATAATATTATTGTTCTTAATAATATAATGTACATCGTACAATAGTCTCAACACTTCACGATCCGTCGATTTGTAATTTACTCATTATGTAGAAGAAGAAAATCCACCATGAATATTGAAGTATCCCGCAGAGTCGAGGAATATAATATCGAATATATAACAGATATGATCTTGTAAAAATCGAGCGTTATTGGACCTCGATCAATGCAAAAAATACTTATTATTTAACCCCTGTTTTGCAGCGTATACAAATGCGTTCGTTTATCGGTAACATTTTTTTTTTTTTTTTTTGCTATGAGCGACGAAGACTTGGTTTTTCCACACGAGTTTTCTTACCGAGGCCTTTAATAAATATATTTCGACTCGAGTCAGAATAATTGGTCAGCTAGCCCATGCAGGGACCCACCGAGAACGTTAAAGAACCTGCTCGTGTGTCTTTAATATAGGACAATATTTAGGCAATATGGAATTTTGTTCTGGATGGAATTTCGTTATGGGATTTGTGTTAGTCGTCATTCGTGAATGATGATTAATGTAAGTTCTACAACGCATGCGCCCACATGTCAACGGCACCGCTGACCAAAAAAGAAAAACTTTAGTTTTTGCTCAATAAACGCTTTATTGGAAAAGGTCTCACGTTTTTCTTAAAAAAGAGTATGATAATTTTCTAAAGTACGCATTGGGCTTTGATTTTTGATTTCGTTGGTTACAAGTTTAAAACAGACATAATAAAAACAACAAAAGCTTGTGAAAATTGGTCATATTCAAAATCGTATTCTACAGTTAATAGAAATAGAATTTTGAAAATCTAAGTCCAATGCACTAAGAAATGTTTCGCTTTTCAAACAAAAAATTATCGAAATAGGATCACTTAACGAGACTTGAACGTTTTTCCTGTCTTTGAGCAAAAAAACAGGTTACATGCGCAGGCCCCTTCAAATATAGTATGAGTACGTTTTAAAAAACCGAACATGATTAATCATAAATGTATACGTATTATAATATTATATTCAATGACGTTTCAAACACGTAGTACCTATGTCGATAGTATAGCGACGCGTATTATACGAACACAATATTACGCAACGGAAAACGGATCGTGTGCGTTCGGTTCCGGCATAGTAGTGGGTGACAGACGAGGTGTGACAGATACGGGTGTCGGTAGGTGGGTAACGGTGGAGACTCGGACAAAAAAAAATTGTTGCAACGATGCACGAAATCGTATTTTCCACGCGTTCAAAGACCCTAGTGTGATTTTGAAGTATATCTAAATAGCCTAATATGAACATTACACCCGCGACGACAATATTAAAGAGAGCTGCCATATTATTAATATTTATATAAGCGATAATGCATCAAAACTTACGACGTAAATTTCGTACGACGTTGGCCGACTCCGAAGTGTCGCTTACACCACTCTACCAAGCCACCACACTGAATATGTCAGCCACTATATAAAATTGAATAAACGGATTAAAGAGTATACTATACGGAATACGTGGCACGTGTATTATAGGTAGTGTATTTACGATACAAAAATAATATAATGGTGTTTAAAAACGTTCCTGTTAATATACCGGTATATTACCATTAAATTATTACCAGAAAATATCATAGTTTTAAGGGAGTTCACACTTCACGGTGTCGTGAGTCGTGACGTGTTTTTAATGATCTTCTTCGTTTCGTGCGTTTTCTATGTTTATACCGAAATACAATACGTCAATACCAATGATACCAAAATCTTTATCAATTATACATGAATAACACATTTCATCATTTTTTTTTTTTTTTGTTATCACTTCAGATAGATGTAACCACTCTGTCAAAAGTTGAATCTATCACGCAATAGCGTTTGGTTACTGTAGTATCGTGTGATGCAATTACGATAGACCATATGGTATATCTCAATAGAACCACGTGGTTCAGTCAATCAGAGAAAATTATTTTACACAACGGTCCCCTCTAAAATGAAAAAATAGAATAAAACCTGAGTGTTTGCGTTGCGGACAGTTTTTGGAAACGGAATGAAAACCATTTTTTTTTGTTCCCGTATTGATACCGAATTCACCTCCCCCCCCCCTCAAATCGCAGTATTTTCCAAACCACTCTTTGATAGTTTAATAATATTTACGGCCATAATATTACAATCGATAACATCAAAGTATATACTCAAAGTATGGGTAGTAGGTATAAGTATACATTAACGTCGTAGTATATATATATTAATAACGTGACACGTACGCTCGTTGTTCGCAGATCATACACAGAGACCTGGCGGCTCGGAACATACTGGTGACGGAGGAACGGGCGTGCAAGATCTCCGATTTCGGATTCGCGCGGGACGTGGCCAGCAGCCGCGTGTACGAGCGCAAGTCGGAGGGCCGCCTGCCCATCAGGTGGATGGCGCCGGAGTCGCTGTTCGACAACATGTACTCGGCCAAGTCGGACGTCTGGTCGTTCGGCGTGCTCATGTGGGAGATCGTGACGCTCGGCTCGACGCCGTACCCGGGAGTGGCCGCGGCGGACGTGATGAAGCGCATCCGGGACGGTTACCGGCTGGACAAGCCGCAGCACTGCCGGCGCGAGGTGTACAACATCATGTTCTACTGCTGGGACAAGTGTCCGGACGACCGGCCCGACTTCGCCGAGCTCATGGGGCTGCTTGACAAGCTGCTGGTCGACGAGACCGACTACATACAGCTTGACCGGTTCCCGGACAACGCGTACTACAACATCACCACCTGCATAAGTGGCGAGCGCCTGTGACGGAACCCCAGCGCCGTCGCCGACGCCACTTCCGCCCGGAAGTGCAACCGGCTGCAGCGACAACGATATTCCGCTGCAGCACGACCACCGTGCAGTCGTTTTCGTTTATTGTGATGATATTATAATATTGACGTAGGTACTACACGTATTTCGGTATAGTCACACGCCTATAAACGAAAAAATATTTAAAAATCGCTTTCGTAGTGGCTGGTGTATTATACAGATTTTTTTATACGATTTTTCGACACATCCTGCCTGTCCGATACATAATGAAACAATAAAACTGCGTGTGATCGCGTTGTGTACGTGAATATGTCAGTTGTATAATATTATTATTGTATGTATTTTTTTTTTTTTTTCATTGTCTATAAAAAAAATATTATTACCGCTTATTGTATATACCTATGTTAAGAATTTAAAAACTTCGTCAACGTCGTTTATTTAGTTTTCACGATGTACCCTAACTTCTTATTGCTCATAATATGTTAAAATAATTTATTACGTATTATACAAATATGATGTTTGAATAGATCGAAACGTATATTTATCGTTACGAACACGAATGTATATACAATGGGTATTTCGTTGTTTTTTTTTTCGAAAACAAAATCACTAGTCTTTTTTTAATTTTTGTACTTACTATCGCGACTATAATAGTACCCTATTCATATTTATGTGATGTTTTTCTGCAAGCTTTATTTAATATAATATAGGTATTATATGTACGAATGTTATATTATTCTGTGCGGATAATACGATCATATATATTATGTTATTATTGTAGCATTATAACAATGTATTTAGAACCGAAAACGTATTTATGCATAGTATTGTATCTATAAATTATAATATAATATATAGTTGCAAGTACTTGATTTTATGATTTTTTTTTTTTAATGATTATTATTATTATATATTGTTATTTATACTTTGTACTCTGTTATTTCACTCCACGTCTCTGACGACTGAACTGACAATAGTATATAATATATACATACGTACCAATAAAATTAGTAAAAAAATATCAACTAAATTAATTCAAGTGCACCTAAATTTTGGCAGTATACAAATTTAATACCAATTTAATACAAATTAATGCATACCTACAAATATTTTTACCCAACGAATGATACACAATTTTCCTGTTGTGTATAGAAACACGCGTATAAAAGGTACACATATAAACATAAAAGTGTCAACGTGTCTTGTGAATTTGTTGACGATAAAATTCCATACTTCCGTTTGTTCTTCAAGTCGATTATTATCCTACGAGTATAATAAGTACACCGCGACACCGGAATCCCGATTAATATAGTTATTATTATTTTTATGGGAAAAAACCGAAACAATAAAATATTCTATGCGTGACGTCTGTTCATAATAAATTAAACGTAAGCAATTTAAAACTCGTGACGCAATTTCAAATTTTTAAATCAAACAAAAATACCGAACACAATATTATCGTCGTAGACGATAGTTATGACAAGATTTTTTTTCGTATTTGGTACCTGTTGAAAAATATGTTTAGATAAATCATAAATACTAAAATGTGTATCATACCTAAATTGGCTAAACTATGTACCTAGACCCGAGTAACGGACACACAATTACGTACATTTGTGTCATACCTCAAAAGCTATTATGGTACGTTACTATATAGTCACTTCGCATTAGGTACATAATAATTAATATTGTTATAAATTACCTATTTACGTACCTATGCTTATACAGAGTGTTTCACCAAGCATGTTCACCAACATTTTTCCTTAAGTATTGAATGTATTCAAATTTTGATTTTTAGAATTTTCAAATATGCTTACTTCAACGTCTTTTTTTCATATTCTTTTGTTTTCTGCATAACTAAAGGAGTGTACAAACAATAAGATACAAACTTCTGTTATTTAAATACGAACATCCATTTATAATTTATTACTGTAAATAATTTGGTTTATACATTTTTGGAAAATGTTGATGTACCTAATTCAAAATTTAAATTAGCAGTTTTTAGTTATTAAATTATTGTGCTTAAGATAAAAGTTCTTAAAAAATTTAAAATGGTTTTGGTTTAATAAAAGTATAAAATAGACGTTAAATTGGATATAGCATTTTCTATACTTGGGAAATTTTTACAAATTATTATATATCACTATTATATTATTATTATTACATATTTATGGATTAATATAATTGAATAAAATTGTAAAATTATCAAAGCCCCCGTATATCTTAGAAACCCATTACCATGGACATTTTATTTTTAAAACACCAAGTAAAATAATTCAAAATCTACGAATTTTGATTCTGATACTTTCGTCGACATTTTCAGAAAAATCATCCACTATATAATTTATAATTATAAAAGGGGGTATTCTCATTCGAAAAACAGAAATGATTGTATATCCATATGACACTCCTTAACTTTTAAATAGTACAAAAAATCACAAAAATATGAAAATATATGGTCTTAAAGTATAATTAAAAAAAAAAGGGTAATCATGTTTCATGCCTAATTTCATGTTCACACAGGGATAACTTTATTCGTATTCATCAATGGAATTGGTTATACAGTAAAATCATCGCACTTACATTTTTCCAGAAGCCACTGACAGTTTGAATAGTTTGATCTCACACATTTTAGATCCCTTGATATTTTTATAGTTTATAGGATTAGGTCTGAACTTTTGTCTGCCAATTTTTGTACAACATAATTAAGAAAAATCTAAATAATTTAGAACCATTTGGTATGTTGGCGGCAGACGTGCTAAAATCGGTTGATTCTTTTTAATCCCTAGGTTGCCAGTAGGCAATCTCACATTTCTCAAATTTATAATATTATACACTGTCAATGATACTAGTGAAACTATTAATACTAAAGAAAAATTATTGCATTATATTGCACTCATAATATTGTGTTTCTAATTTTTTAGAGTATTGTCTATTAAAAATAACCTATAAATATTACTTGTTGACCAAAACAATTTTAAAAGTGATATATTGGTCTATTTTATGGTAGTATATTATAATAAATACCCTCTAAACCACCAATCTTATCCAAAAGCTGCCATCAACTAAAATAAACTACACCTCTTTCGTGTAACCGATTATTCTTTTATACTATTGAACAATTCCCATTATAAGTTCATACATTCATGATTGTATTCATTCCCGATTTTTATGAAAATATTAATTGCCATCTGCATATTATACGCATCAAAGTGGATCGCAGTACTTGCAGTCTTTAATGTGAAAGAAAGCGATTTGATTTCTCACTGCTACACGAGGACATCGTAGGGTTGTTTTTAAATAAAATGAACTAAAATATTAAAATTAATTCACATGTGTTAAAGTCCAATGCCCTATCCATAAAAATGTTTAAATCAATCAATTTATCAAATAAATGGTGTACAATAAAATATGTATTTTAACCTAACAATATTTAAAGAAAATTCGTTTTTAAATAAGCAGCGTTTTGTTTTTTAAACCTATAAAAATGACAAGTGTTTGTAATAAAGTTGTACTTTTATTTTATTTCAATATTACCTAGTGAACATATTTCCAATAATTGTATCTAATTATTTTAGTGTATTTATTAATATTGAATTATTGAATAATTTTGTGCGTAATTCAAATAGGGCAATCAGAAGCGCGGATTTGATGTCGTGGCTATAGTTTCTAGTATAGGGATTGTTAGTACGCCACCGGCAACCGGGCAACCACATGTACGATGAGCCCTTTCATTATTATAAGATTTTAAAGACTTTTTTTTTTTTGAATCATTTAAACTGAACAGGCAAAGTTTTAAACCTATAGACACCTTAGTGTGTAATACATTCTCTATAAAAAACGTAAGCATATTAATAGATGATAATAATAATAATGTATTATGAGTTATAACTTATAACATATAAACATTACACGTACACGTACACAGTTACGGGTACCTATCCATATCATATATGCCTAATACTGTCATTAATGAATAAATGGTACGGTAAAAAAAAGCTTAGTATTATAAATAAAAATAAATCGACTTTTATTCCATTAATTGTTTTGTCAAATATTAACACGCATGACCAAATTATAATAAAATCTCACATTAATGATTGTAATAGGAAAAAACGCTAACCGATACGTGTATAATAAGAACTGTATAGTAATATATTGCTAGAGTTAAATCAGAAAGATATATTTTAGGTATATTTTTTTGTGAGCTCTTAAATAGAAATACCGCACATTAAATTAGAATAATACGCCTGAGAAAACGTTTTCATATTAATTAAAGAACTACAAAATATCCTAGATATTCAATGACTATAAAAATGATTGATCATGTTTTGGCTCAACCCGTGTGCAATGTATTGTCGTATCTTACATGGTATAAAATATATAAATCTTAAATTGGCTGTGTATTTCACCATTTTTAGATCGAGTACCCCCTGCCATAACTTATGATTGTGTCCAGTAAACAGAAAAATAATTTTTAGGAGCGCAATTATCTTATCCGTGAGATTTCTAACTAATACCGGGGTAAAAACAGAGTAAGACACTTTTTTCGTTTAATCGTTAAAATGTTATCTTCGGCTACAATATTGGTATTTGGTATTAACGTTGCCGAATAACGGAAATATGGAGTGTAGGTACTTACAACGAGTAGGTAATATCGGTATAATTATTTATATTTTATACACACATAATTACACACAAATGCGCGTACAAAGAAATGACGCAGAAAGAAAGTAAGTAATGTTTACACAATAATGTTCCTGGTGCAGTTCAGACAAGGATTTTCGAAATCATTCTCTCGAGGGGTTATGTTATATTATGTCCTCGGGTCGTCAACAGCCGCAGTGAGGCTGATATAGGCACTGAGTAAATTGCACGAATTAATCATATCGCATACAATATAATAATATTATGTTTCGTGTGATTTGCGCCGAGTTTAGCGTTTTATACACGACGGACGCGTGTATTGTATTATTATAAATAATATTATGTGCATTATTCAATATCGTATACCGTAACGTTTTGTCGGCACGAAAGTCATCCGACGCCATCATGATACGTGTGCACTGTGCACGATTATTGTACATAAAAATTATGACCACCATGACATCATATTATTAAGCTGATCTAATAACAGTAGATCCTATGGATATAATATACTGCAGAGGAAAACAACGCAACTATAATATAATTGCGTCTTGTTGAGGTCTTCGTAAAACTTTTCTCGATACAATATTTTATGATATTATATAAATATCAATTATTAATGAATGATAAATTAATCATTACTACCTATTACTAGTTTATAAATTTACATTATTTTCATCATAATATATTGTATTTTGTTATAGGAACACCACACGGTAATTACTAATTATAAGTATGACAGTATGAGTACATAGGTACATGTGTTCATATTTATATTTAATATTTTTTTTTTTTTAGTAATTTACTACTGGGCCGTTTTCTACAAAAAGTTTTACTAATATATTCCTTGAAATGTAAAGGGTGGTTATAGTTTGATTTTTCAATCCCTATACCTATCCAATTAAAGCCTAAAAGATAGCTCATTCAGAAATTTGTTTTTATCTCAATAATATCTTTGTTTATTTATAGGTTAGCCATAGATTACATATTATATTACTATTATAATAACTATTACTTATTAGAAATAATACATTACACATTACTTTAAAAAAAAAAAATTTTGGCTCGAGCAATGCCTGATGGGTTAGCTAAACAACTTATAAATAATATAGGATGATGATGACTTTTTTAGTTTGATCATAAACAATTTTATCTTAGTTAAAAATTTGTTGCATACTTACTTTATTCAGAAAAATCTAATTTTACTTTACATATTTAGG